TTGGCGTGAAGAAATATCTTATTATTAAGTACTAGTTGTATCCCGTGGCTTCGCTCGCATAAATCAGTACATAAATTTTTTTTTATTCAACTTAGAATGGCAAACAAGCTGACGGCCCACCTGATGGAAAGTGGTAACCGTCGCCTACAGACATGAGCAATACCGTGAACATAACAGAGTATACTGTTTCGCCCATGATACCCCCCATGCGTTGCCATTCCTGAGGACCCAGCTGTTATTCCTCTGTACCCAGTAAATTCACGCCATATCCCACCCTTCAAACCGAAACACAGCATAATAAATTGCCCTATATACTAATTAAGGATATAACCAATCAATATACCATATTTTATTTAAATCCGTTCATTAGTTTTTGCGTGAAAGAGTAACAAATATCCATTCATTATTACAAGCTTTGACATTTATAATACCTATACGTTTTAACCAATAGTTCTTTCTCATAAACGGAATATATTTACTGACGAGATAAAAGTACCCTTCTTAGCCTTCTACATATAATATAGTACCTGTTTATCAAATTTTATAGTAATTAGTGAATTCATTAACACGTTATAAAATAACAAACACCTAATAACCATGTAACGCGAAAGTCTAAAAATGCCTAGGCCATTTCCAATACCTTCCATAGGGGGGAAAGGGATTGTTAGTAATGGAGACTGAGAATCTCATTGCTAGTAATTGACCCAACCAGATTGAACTTCTCGTGGTTCCCCCTGGAAACTATCATGGTTAATTCCTAATGAATTCATTATGATGGGCTAAGTGGCCTGTTTTCATTCTCATCTATCACCCTTCACTGGTGCTCCGCCAGCGTATCCCGTTAGCGCAGGCGGGGTTACCATAACATGTTCACCCTTAAAAAAAAATACCTTCCATAGTGTACAACACCAAAGCAAAGTAAACCAAGTAAGTTTTTCGCATCCATTTGTTTCCAGCTATCTTCTTAATATCATCGATCCATCTGGAAGTAGAGATGAAGCCCCACGTTTTATCGTTCGTTACGCGGCCTCTAATCCGAGACTATTTTTCTTTACCTACCAGCGCTGACTCGATGAATATGGCTGGCTCTTTGGAACTTCAGCTTTTTTAGACTTAGAAGGTAATCCTATAGTGGCGGTCAGCAATTTTACAGCTTGTATGATGGTAAATAGTTACCGTAGCTTACTTATTATTCATTAGTATTCCTCCATCTAAAGGTTTTTTTTTGATGGGTGAAAGTTTTTTTTTATACAACTTAGAATGGCAAACAAGCTGAAGGCCCACCTAATGGAAAGTGGTAACCGTAGCCTATAGACAGGAGCAGTACCATGGACATAACAGAATATACTGTTTCGCCCATGATACCCCCCATGCGTTGCCATTCCTGAGGACTCAGGTGTTATTCCTCCGTACCCAGTAAATTTACGCCATATCCCACCCTTCAAACTGAAACATAGCCATGCAAACATAACTGCTTTACGGTTGAAACAGGAATGGGACAGAGGTATCGAAGCAATCGGCTTTTGTACAAAGTCTCCCTCTGATGAATGGAAGTGGAATGGAAAGAAAGTGGAATGGAATACCCCGCCTGCGCTAACGGAATACGCTGGCGGAGTACCAGTGAAGGGTGATCGATGAGAATGAAAACAGGCCAGTCAGCCCATCATGATGAATTCATCAGGAATTAACCATAATAGTTTCCAGGGAGAACCGCGAGGAGGTCGACCTGGTTGGGTATATTGCTAGTAATGGGATTCTCAGTCTCCATTACTAACAATCCCTTTACCCTCTTCATCTAAAGGTTGCCTCGAAAAGATCGTTTTTAACAATAAGACTGTCCATTGTTTCCTGAGTGTGATCATTTCTTGTAATTGTTTGTATTTATAATAAGTTGAGTACTTTAATGTTTTGGGGTAAAGAATAAAGAATATCTGTCTATCTATCTATTTATCTTATAGTTGATTTAAAAATCAATGATATATGTACCAGGTCGACTTAGAAGGAACTTTTTCAACCAATTAAAAAAAAAAGGGTCCTTAAAAAAGCTGATAAAACCCTAACAGCTTTGCTTCAGTTTGAGATTCATATTGTCGTGGGTTTAGTCGCTATATTTTATTTCTGCGGAGAAAAATCCTGCTTACATAGAATTTGAAGTTAAAATGTGTACTTATCAGCAAAAAATACCATAAACTCCCTCACTCAAATTTAACGAGGTGACGACTCGGGAGTGAAAGTATGGGGTTATAATGATACCCGTAGGGATTTATAGACCATAAGCATAGTCACCCCCGTATTAGGGGATGATTTTGCGCATTGAATACAAATGGGTGTAATGTAATTTTTCGATTTAATTCACGACCGTATAATAGAATAAATTTTTAATTAACTTTGTTATTTACTGAATGGTCAGTATTTTAAATGTGGATCTAAGTTTGTTTGTTTGTTAGATCTAGAGGTTTAATCGCTTAACCAATTGTCATGAAATTTGGTATACCCGTTGTATTTGAGGTGAAGAAATATATAACTATTTTAGGGTTTTGTACCTCCAAATGAAAAACGGAACCCTTATACACTTTGTTCTCCGTCCGTCAGTCTGTTAAGACCCTTTTAGGAACGCGTGGAGGTATTAAGTTTAAATTAATATTATATACTCAGGCCAGCAATCTCTTAAAGCAGTGAAAAACACAAGCTTCTAAATCGATGCAATTAAAAGATGCGGCCGTTTATGTTCCATTTATATATAATATATTGCAGATTTTGACAATCAAAATCTATAGGGTACTTCCCGTTGAACTAGAACCATGAAATTTAGCAAGAAGCAATGTCATGTAGTACAAGTAAAAGGGAAAATCCGAAAATCGTAAATTTGTAGTCATTTCACAAAAAAAAATTATGATTTTGTACAGAACCCCTTGTTGCGCAAAAACGACTTGCACTTGACCGACTTTTTTATTATAGTCAATCAATATAAATCGCGGTCTCGAAGACGAGGTTACAGGTAAAATCTTTAGTAGTTTTATAAAAATGCATGAGAAGAAAAACCGTTGTCCAGATATAAATAAAACAAATGGACAAAATAGAATCTATTAAATAGTACTTATGCCTGTTTGAGAATAAGACATTTTTTTTTATGTACTTAGAATGGCAAACAAGCTGATGGCGCACCTGATGAAAAAACGTAACTGTCGCCTATAGACATAAGCAGTACCATGGACATAACAGAGTATACTGTTTCGCCCATGATACTCCCCATGCGTTGCCGTTCCTGAGGACTCAGGTGTTATTCCTCTGTACCCTGTAAATTCACGCCATATCTTACCCTTCAAACTGAAACACAGGCATGCAAACATCATATTTACATTACATTCACGGTTGAAACACGAATGGGACAGAGGTGTCCAAGCAAACGGATTTTGTACAAAGTCTCCCACTGGTCCCGATCAGCATGAGAGTTGGCATATACATGTTTTGTTTTTTTTTTTCATAAATACAAATAATAATTTCTTGCGATCTACTTCATCGTTACACTTCACTAGATAGCATCTCAGTACTTATATAAAATTTCGTACCGTTCAACAGATTGGAAAAAATCATATTGACGGGGTTTTTTTACATAAAGATGTAAATAAACATACTCGTAGATAGGAAAACGTCTACCGGATTTTGTTAGTAAAATATCAAAATAAAAATTAACTTATTTCTTTTTTACACACAAGTTTTATAATATTGTTCTATTCTATGCCGGGACCACACGGGAAAGTCTCCCTTTGGTAAACTTTTATATCAATAATCTTTCTCTTAAGAAGAGAAGTCTATACCCAGCGGTAAATTCATAAACTTAGAAGCCTGACATCAATTTTACGGGAAGGGGGAAAGGGATTGTTAGTAATGAGGCCCAATATCTCCATTACTAGCAATATACTCTCTCAGGTCGACCTCCATCCGCGATTCCCCCTGGAAACCATCATTGTTAATTCTTGTCGAATTCATCATGGTGGACCAACTGATCTGCATTCATTTTCACCTATCATCTTTCACTGGTGTTTCCTTGGTGTATACTGATAGCGCGGGTTTGGTTACCATTCCATTTTCACCCATTAAAAAATACACCGATTTTACAACAAGACATATGTACAGATCGTATAATACAGTATGGTATATTTATAATAGAGTATAGATTGATTGGTTGAGACCCAGCGTTAGCTGTGATTAGTATTATTTTCTTCCTTTATTGGCTTTAGATGCGTAAATTTTTCCGTCTTTCTATAGACTTTCCTGCCATACGCCTTATTTAAAGGATAGCAGGGATGGGGAGAGATAATTAAGTCTCAGAGACTCTATCTATCTTTCCTTATATCACTTGCTACGTACACACCAGCTACAGTAACTCAGGGTACATATATTTATTCTCTTGATTATCTATACTAATATTATGAAGAGAAAATGTTTTTACTTCATTGATTTTAAAAATTATTGCACCTATATAAAGCTATATTATCAGCAAGTAATACAGGCCTTATACTATTTCTGAATATTTTATCTACTTATGCAAAAACTGGTTGGATCGCCAGTATAAAATATTCCCTAAAAACAGCGAAACTTTTTAAACTCGAACGCAATCACATTAAAATATAGTCCCACAGGAGAAAAGTAAGACAAATCCACCGGAACATTACTAAAACGATCGTTTTCACAAACAAAGACTTACTTTCAGTGCATTTCCTACATCACCCACAGCGGCGGTGCTCAAACTGTCTTCTTAATGCAAAATGCGGCCCTAAACTTTCTTTAAAAGATTCACACCGAGACACAAATGCATGGACTTATAATCATCTCGACGTTATTGCACCGCGATAAATGTCAAATTTGCTTGTCGGATAACAGCTGGTGCCGTTGATTGTTAAATGCTCCTAGAGGGTAGTTGCACAGAGCATGCGCAGCCTATGCAGCCCGCTAGTTTCAACACACCGTGTTGCTGTCAGTTACTCTCTGTCAGTCGATAGGCGGCTGCGAAACGGGGTGGTCGTGCGCGGTTTGCCCCTCGCAACTATCGTAACAGAAACACGTATTCTGTTTGGTGACTTAAAAAAAATTATCCGGACATTTGGGAAATGTGAAAATAATTTAAAATTAGATTTTAATGGGCTATTAGCTTTTGTAATAAGATTTAGAGATGGTTCGCCAAATATACCAGTAGACGTGGGTGTTTGGTGACAGGACCCGAACCCGGCAGGTAAGTGCGGAATACTGTGAAATTTACATTTTTAAATTGGAAACAAATATCTACTCGTAAAGGAAAAACTGGAAGAGGTGATTTTGAATAATTAGCAAAAGGTTTTAAGGGATTTTGGGCAACGAAAGGGAAAATTATGCATTCGAGCTTTTAAACGAACAGTGAAAATTGATTTGTTTCTATAAATTATTGTTGGAGCAAAAGTAAACGTTTTCTTTTTCTTAACTATCTATTCACTAATGGTTTTCTTGTTATGGATGCGAGAAATTAAGAAGATCGAAGAAAGATGGATGGACTGTGTAAAAGACGAATGTTTTTGTTGTAACAAGTAGGATGCTGAAAGTAAGGCAAGAATGGAAGGCAATATGATGCTGTACGTACTCGAAGTATTGGGAAAAAGTCTGAAGGATAACACAACGTTTTTGTATTTACTTTAATTTTGGATACATCTCAAAAGGCGAATCCAAATAATTCCTTCATTTTAAATAAGATCAAAAAGATTTATGAATGAAATTATTTGTGTTACGATAAGTGAGACGATTGAAAGGATTCGAGACAAGAATGCATGGTGTAAACATGACGTTTTGACATAAAATAAGAATAAAGGCATTATGGATGATGACGATTATACAGGTTGTGAAACTCCGATGGCAACTCTCATTAAATCTATTAATCAAATAAAATATAAGTAAGTTTTGATTGTTTGTTTGTAATGGATAAACTCAAAAACTAATCAATCGATTTAAAATAAATCTTTCACCTATAGAAACCTACATTTTGATATGAGCGAGTAACATAGAAAACATAACGTTTTCGAAAATTCTATCTAAAATTGCGAATTGGGACCGGCCCGCTAATATCAAGTAAAGTTATGTACCGATTACAGTTAATAGAAAATTTCTTCTAACGATTCTGCTATTTAACGAATCGGAATTTAATATTAGATTCTTTTATTTGAAATGAAATTCAATACAGTCAAAACATGAATATCAGCTTGCGTATTAGATAATGAGATACTTCATACTAATAATAATATTGGAGTTACATATATATTTGTTATACATACATTATGTAATATATATATTTTGATTTATGTAATATGCAAGCTTGTGTCTTTAATTATGAATTGTAAATGTGAGCAATTCTGACATTATGTTATGTGTTATGAATAAGTAAACATTTTCGAATTATGTATTGGATTATCGTAGATATTGCAAATTGCAGAATATTATTGTTAATTGTAATTAATGTATGATTTAGTTCATCAAGTAGATTCAATTATCATAATTTCAGAGTAATCTTGGGTGACTCTATAATGAATCATAGAAATTGGTACATAATTGACGAAGATATTATTTATTTATTTATTTTTTTATATATTTGGAAGACCAAAAGCTAAAATTATATAATATAAACATACAGTTTATGGTTTAATGGAGCTTAGTAATTTGTGTTCACACAAATTAATTATTTATATAATTAAATTTGAATAAAGTATCAGCTGAGTTACTTGTTCGTTCTGCTGGGCTGAAATTGCAATACAAATGGGCTGTAATAAAAAAAAACTGACTGTTCAAAAATGTTTAAATATAAGTTTACTTGATTAAAAACATTTCTTTTTATAAAAAATAAAAAAAAACATACAGTCGGTTTGAAAACTTTCTCTACGCTATTAAAAAAAAACACATTAATAATGACAATTTTTTTTATCAATGAGTACCTAATATCATCATCTATATAATATGAATAAAATCTAAATCAATTTTATTTTTATCCCAAAAATACAGTAGCTACAATAAATTCGTTCCATTCGTGTTTCAACCGTGAAGCAGTTGTGTTTGCATGGCTGTGTTTCCGTTTGAAGGGTGAGATATGGCATGAATTTACTGGGTACAGAGGAAAAACACCTGAGTCCTTAGGAATGGCAACGCATGTGGGGTATCATGGGCAAAACAGTATACTCTGTTACCACTTTCCATCAGGTGGGCCGTCAGCTTGTTTGCCATTCTAAGTTGTATAAAAAAATAAAATAAATAAAAAAACTCACTTTCATATTTATAATTACTAGCAGACAACCATAATCTCGCAGCATCGCCCGTGGGAATCCATAGTCTTGAGTTCCCGTCAAGATATATAAAATACCATTTTTTTTTAATGAATGTGCGATTGAGTGTACTTTATTTGCATTATACAATATAAGAAATAAGTAAGATAATTTATAAACATAACGATACAATTGTATAAGTACAGTAAGGCGGTCTTATTGCTGAGAACAATTTCTTCAAGACAACCTTAGGGTAACGGAGTAATTGTTGTACAAGTAGGTATGATAGTACTAATAATTAAGAAAGTACCTTTATCAAATAAAAAAAAAAGTAAAATTATTAACTATATTACAATATATAATCCTATATATATATATATATATATATATATATATATATATATATATATATATATATATGTTATATATATATATATATATATATATATATATATGAAATATGTATTTAATAATAGAACATATATAAAAAACTAGCGGCCCGGTACGTGCTTCGCTACGTATAAAGTTAAATAATAAAAATATAAATTAAATGTCCGCATGAATGTCATAACATGCTTGTACTGTCAACACTGAAAAAAGTTTCAATTTGACAGCACAATCTCCATCTTAAAAAAAAGTTTGAATATGACACAAAAATCCCCATTAACAAACTGATCCGCCATTTATTGAATTCATTTATTACAAATAATGTGATAAATGAAGAATGGCTCAACCGATTTTGTGCAAACTTCACATTAACTATCTACTAAATAGTCCGAACAAAGTCTAAACATTTGGTTTGGATAGGTGAGCTCGTTCTTGAGTTATAAAGTTACAACGAAAAGTGGCATTAATTTATATATATATATATATATATATATAAATTAATGCCACTTAATGTATAACTAAAAAATTAATAATAACGTTAATGTATCACAGCCATCTGACGGTTACATATTTTATACTCTTGTATATCTTTCTATAATTTTTCCTGTTTCATACTTTATACAGGAAAAAATATATATAAATCTGATAAAGTTAATAAAAACCTTTGATGATATTATTAATACATCTTTCTATTTGATATTTTTGATAAGTAGATTATATATTTTATGTTAAACTATAGTTCAATATACATATATCATTTTTGTTATTAAGAAAACGAAAATAAGAGCATATATTTTCTTCTATGCGACAATTTATTAATAAACAGAAAAGAGAGACTTGAAATTAGTAACAACATTTCCTTGTGTATTTTTTGTCGTATATTTTTTTCGATGTAAACAATAGTTAATACATTGTAATTGTTATGATCGAGTATTTTGTTGGTCTCGTGTTTATCAACAGAATATTTTTTTATGTGATATATAAATATAATAATAGCATTTCAGAATAAGTGGCAATTCATATGTCGACGACAAATTTGTTTGTATATACTATCTAATTAGGTATATACTGTCTAATTAGGTACATTTATTTGTTTATTAACGCCGCTCTTCCTTCTTACCAGTGTATGTTTTATAAATTATACATGCTATTTGCTTTCAAATAAAGATCAGATAAGAAAATATGTCTATATACTCTGTTATGTCCATGGTACTGTTCACGTATATAGGCGACGGTTACCGCTATCGGTCAGGTGGGCCGTCAGTTTGTTTGCCATTCTAAGCTGAATAAAAAAAAGTGTAGAAACAGAAACTTTGTTCTGATCAATCAGAAGAGTGCTTCATGTAATGTAATGAAAATAAAATGGCCACCAAAATATCCGGGGATGCCCACGGGAACAGTAAATGGGTATATTTGGCAGATGCATTAGGAAATATTTACTCTAATTTAATCATGTACTTCTAGTGTGTAAAATAAGGACTTATATTAATCTAGAGAAAGAATCTAAACGTTCTTGATATGTAGATATAATGATTTTTTTTTTATACAACTTAGAATGGCAAACAAGCTGACGGCCCACCTGATGGAAAGTGGTAACCCTCGCCTATAGACATGAGCAGTATCATGGTTAATTTATACATTAAAATATGATTTTATGGAAATTATCCTAAAAAGCAAATAATATTTTTTTATTTTTATATCTCTAAAACTCTTTGAATTAGCATTTTCAACTGATTTCTAAAATTGCCAACTTTACTGTTTTTTTTTGTGTGTGTGTGTGTGTAAGTAGGTAAGTTTTTTTTTATACAACTTAGAATGGCAAGCAAGCTGACGGCACACCTGATGGAAAGTAGTAACACCGTCGCCTATAGACATGAGCAGTATCATGGACATAACAGAATAATACTGTTTCGCCCATGATACCCCCTATTGTTACCCCGTTGCCATTCCTGAGCACTCAGGTGTTATTCCTCTGTACCAGGTAAATTCACGCCATATCCCACCCTTCAAACCGAAACACAGCCATGTAAACACAACTGCTTTACGGTTGAAACACGAATGGGACAAAGGTACTCGAGCAAACGACTTTTGTACAAAGCTTCCCTCTGGTATAGTAAGTATATTATTCTATTTATAAATATCTTAATTTTAAATTTAAAAACATTCGTAATGAAATCAAAAGAGTTTATTTAACTCCCCTTAATAGACATACAAAGTAGGTTTTATTATCAAGTAATGTAAACTTTACCTATTTAGTGTACCTAAAACATTTTTATCAGATTTCTGTACTTCCTTCATGAAGATTAACGTTAGGAGGTATAAGTATTTGCTGTTTTACGCTTCTACTCGTATAGATTCTTGTCAACGGTCCGTACGATGTTTTCCCACGCTAACCCAGTGTTTTATGGTCGCCGTGCTCTATAAATTAGTGAGATCACGGCCGGCGTAATACTTCGTTCGACTATTTGTTATAATTGGGCCTGAGACTGAAAATAAAAAGAAATTAGCACCTGAACATTAATATAATATAAAAAAAAAAAAAAACACGAATGTTAATAAAATTAAAGTG